ACAATGGCGCGAAGCTACCATCCGCTGGATTATGGCTGAACGCCTCTAAGTCAGAATCCATGCTAGAACGTGACGATATTTACCTCTTCCTTTATTAGGCGAATAAAAATAGAGACTTCGGTCTCCAGTGTCATAGCGTATGGGATTTGACTGGCAATCGGAAGTGGTTGTTTGTCTCGTCCATGTATTGCAATTTCACATATGGGAAGGGATAAATTCTTTGCAGACGACTTGAATTGGAACGGGGTATTGTAAGCAGTAGAGTAGTCTTAGTGCTACGATCTGCTGAGATTAAGCCCTTGTTTCACAGATTTGTTTTTTTTCGTCTTCCGAAAGGGCGTGGGTCACCTGTTTGTCGTTATACGAGAACTTTGAATATACGAGAATAAATTACACACCATATGGTACATACCATCTAAAGTCATCAAATTATAAAATACAAACATTTGATGACTTTAGATGGTATACACCATACAATGTATTACCGGAACCCGATATCTCGACCATTGCCAGAAGATTTTTGATTAGTCACTGCGGAAATCAGGTGAGATATTTCTCGAACCAAAGCGGATTTTTATGTTTTGTAGCAACACCCGCGGTTCAAGAATCGAATTCGGAATTTTTGCAAGGTGGCCTGGCGTAAAAAACACCTTGATTAGCCCCCACAACGATTAGTAATGTAAATCAAGATCTCCGCCAGCCCTGAATTTTTCAGCTGAAAGGCAAATTCGATTAGCAGATTAATCACATGTGAAATAAAAAATAACGCAGTCGCATGAAAATTCTTATTTAGCGTAAATGAAATTCTTTATTATTATAAGTAGTTTTGGAATTAAGTACGCTACAAGCTAGCTCTCAAGAACAGCCGATGGACCTTTAACAGCATGCACAAGATTTCGAACATCCTTTGTATATATTTGTTGAAAATGAGGTAATCCATCACCAACAATGGTTTCACGGTTTAATTATATTAGCTTGACCCGATCCTCAAAGTGTTCTATATTCAAAATGTTCGAAACAAGATGCAGATTAAAGGATGGGTCAATTAAAATTATAAATAGGTACCTCCTGCTACATATGAAATTGGTCGCGCAAATAAAAAAAATATTATAAACTTCATATATTGAATGGAAAAGTGCTAAATAATTAATAAAATGAACACTTGAGTAAAAAAGCATTAAATAGATCAATTACATATTTAATTTTTATTTTTATATTCTTGTTATCTCAAATTGGACATTTTGATATTATACAATTTTCTTGGTATTTTCTTTATTTATCTATTTTATATTATATATAAATTTTCTATTTTTGCTATTGATACTTCAATATTATTATAATTTAGTACTTATTTTATATATTTTTAATTATTTAATGAAAAATAATCAGTTTTAGTAATTTGATCATTATTATACAAATATTTATTCAAATTATTCATTTATATTTCTTTAAAAGTTAAATTAAAATTACTTGTTTGTTAAATTCTTCATGAATTTTGAGGGGTTCCTATAACGAAATGGATATTTGTCACTTCTTTTATCACATAAAAATAATAATTGTAATAAATAAGAAATACTACAAATCATGTGTTTCTTCCAAATTAGACTTGGCGCACCATTTTAGTATGCTAAAGTTCCGCCTGATGACGATCAGTACTACGGATTTTCCAGCTGTGGAAATAACAAGATGGTAGAGTATACTACGCATCACTATAGATCATCGAAATATTTTGAAATAACAATTTCCATTAGTATACTCTACCCTTCTCTTCGTGAGTAAAATTAGGTAAACATGGTTTGTATTTTATATATTTTTTATATCTCAAAACTTGAATGTATAATAAATCTGGTTTAGAATATGGTTTGTTAGATAACAAACTCAATTTTCTAATAACCTTATTTTCCACAAAAAAGTCCAATACGCTTCGCTCGTACCTAACAGCTGTTCGGTCTACATTGACGGCAGCACTTTGTTTGACAAATTTCCCGTCGCAGGTGGTTGAACGACATAATAAGCCAGAGATTGAAGCTCTGTGAGTTTCTTTGTTTTTTACTTTATTTATCTATTGATTTATGCTCCAATTTTTCTTACTAATTCTCATCGATTGACAATAACAGATCATCACTTGAAGTGGTGCTAAACCCGCTAACCATCAGCAGAAATGAAAACGAACAAGTGCTGATAGAACCATCTGTAAACTCGATTCGTATTAGCATTAAAATTAAGCAGGCGGATGAGATCGAGCGTATCCTTTGTCACAAGTTTACGCGATTCATGATGTTACGTGCAGAGAATTTTATTATTTTAAGGAGGAAGCCTATTCCTGTAAGTAAAAGACTACTTACTAGAACGCGTTGAGATTTTTTTAATTGATTAAATTGTTCAAATCATTATTTCATTATAGGGATACGACATTAGCTTCCTGATTACCAATTTCCACACTGAAGCAATGTACAAACATAAGATCGTCGATTTCATCATTCAGTTCATGGAGGAAGTGGATAAAGAAATTTCAGAGATGAAGTTGTCATTGAATAGTCGGGTGAGTTGGATCTTTTTTTTTGTGTCTCTTAGTCCCTATATTTCCTCTTTTTTATCTATCGATTATTTAATATAATATATATTTATTGTTTGCAGGCCCGTATTGTAGCAGAGTCATATCTGTCGCAGGTAATACAATAAAGATAAGGTTTTATTTAATTTCGAACTGTCTAATGATCTTTATTTATTTTCATGTAGTTTGCATGATGTAACGGTCAGATATATTATATATATCTATTTATTTATTTGTCTCTTTTCTATATCTTAAATTTTTGTGTGATGTGATGTTGTTTGTAGTATGTATGATGTAAAGAATTTAAAAAAAAGAATAGAATTATTTGCATTAAAACTATCGATTCATATACATTAACCTTTTATAGAAGAAAACTGCATTTTCATAAAATTTATAATTTTCTCAAAGAATCGTACGTTATTGAATTACTAAATTTTCTTTACGAGCAGATTCACAAAAAATAAAACTAAACAATGAATTCTTCCACATTTACAACCGACACTCGTTCACGAAGCAGTCGCGCACAACTTGCAAGCACACATATCCGACCACACTCAAAGACACGAGTGGCATATTTTCATAATAAGGACGTCGGATCTTTTCATTACGGTGTGGGTACGGGGGTAGGTGCTGTGTGTAAAGGTGCAAGCGTACTTTTTAGAAATAACGAAAGAAAGAGTCCTGGCTAATAATTCGCTGTGTTTTTCATCTATAAAATAAAGGTTTATGATACGAAAAAGACGGGACATCCTATGAAACCACATCGATTAACTTTGACGAATGATTTAGTTATCAATTATGGGTTGCACGAATTGATGGATGTCTATTGTCCGCGTATGGCGACAGAGGCCGAACTTCTCGAGTTCCATGAATCGGATTACGTAAATTTTCTCAAAAAGTAAAGGGATATTTTCTAGCTTGATTGCCATTATCGAAACTAACAATTCTTTTGTAATCTCGCAAAAAAGGATAACCCCACAAAATCGAGATACAGAATTCGCAGATGTGTTGGGCAACTTCAATTTCGGCGATGATTGTCCAGTGTTTGACGGGTTATGGGACTTTTGTAGGATTTATACCGGTGCTTCGTTGGCTGCCGCACAAAAGCTATGTATGAAAGATATGGAAATCTGCGTTAATTGGAGTGGTGGTCTTCATCACGCGAAAAGTTATGAGGCTTCGGGGTTCTGTTATGTAAATGATATAGTGTTGGCTATTCGACAGTTATTAAAGTAAGTGGAATCTGCCATCAATTTGTCAGATATATATTCTCAAGTTTTATTTGTTTCTATTTGTGATCAAACAGATATTATGTACGAGTACTCTATATTGATATAGATATACATCATGGAGATGGTGTACAAGAAGCATTCTACTGTACTGATCGAGTTATGACAGTTTCTTTCCACAAATATGAACCTGGATTCTTCCCTGGTACTGGAGACACCACCGAAATAGGCAGTGAACTCGGCAAGTACTACAGCATTAATGTGCCACTGAAAAATGGAATTGATGATGACAGTTATGTAAATCTATTTAGAACAATAATGACAGAAGTAAAAGATCGATATCAACCAAGTGTAATTGTCTTACAATGCGGCGCAGACTCACTGGGCTTAGATCGTCTTGGAGCATTCAATCTATCTATTAAAGCTCATGGTGACTGTGTAAAAATAATCAAAAGTTGGCAGATACCGCTGCTGGTGCTAGGTGGTGGAGGATACACCATTCACAATGTAGCAAGATGTTGGGCGTATGAAACCAGCGTGTTGCTGGATGCCAATCTTCCTAATGAAATTCCAGGTGAAAGCAAATACCTGGATTTCTTTGAACCTGATTATAAATTGCATCCACATCTGGTTGGACGCGTTGACAATCAAAACACCAAGACTGATCTGAAACGGTTAACGGAAGTCATTTTTGAACAGTTAAGACATCTGGATGGTGCTCCCGTTATACAAATGCAAGAGTTGCCTGACGGTATAGCGGAATACCTGCAAGAGGCTGACGAAGAATTGGCCGATACTCGGGAAGATCAACGTGCTAATAAGCGTATGAAAAGATCGAAGGCACATGACAATGAATTCTTTGATGGTGATAGTGATCAAGAACAGGACGAGGAAAATACAATGGACCTTGATTGATTGATTTGTTACTGAACGCGGTTAACTTATAATGTCGTATTCGAGTTTTTTCCTTTTACGTTTTACTTTGTGTCCCAAACCGTTAAAATTGACGTGTGATTTTTTAAAACTCATTGCAAAAATTAGATCTTTATTATTTAAAAAGTAATTTGTCGCGGAAATCCCAAAGTTCGTGTCGAAATGTTCACGTGCATTACCAGATTCAGAAAGAGTTACATTTTTTTATTAGTCCGATCTGTTCGCGTTAGTCTTTAAAAAAAAACAGACATGAACACAACAAAGATGCAAGTTGATATTCTCTTGTAGGTTTATGTGTATTTGATTTTTTGGTATGATGTATTCTCGACGACTTTTATCTTATGTTTCTCGTATTGGTCGTGGGTCGCGAGGTACGCATGCTTTTTTTAATAGATATTAAACATGTAGAAGAGGTAACGCGTGCCCGTGGACGCGCGTTATTCTAATTTAATTAATTAATTTAAATATCCAAGTTCTTTTTACAATTTATCTTTTTATATGTGCTATTGATGATATACTCGGGATTTTGTTGCCGACGTATAAATATAAATATAACCACAATGATTTTTATTGTAATAATGATAATAATGCTGAATTTTTTGGGTTGATAGCGCCTGGTCGTTTCGATAATGGTTCAGTATCGTTTTTCTATTCAATCCAGATTATTTAATTTAATCAATTCTTAATTTATCTTTTTGTAATTATTCTTATATAATGTGGAACAGGAAAAACCTTTTTTTCAACAACCAATCGTAATGCGTATCCCGCTACTATAAATGCTACTTCTTTATCGTCATCAACTTATAGAAAATCAGCAAAGTTTTTTGTTGCAGCATGTTCGGTCACTGCAGCTGTTGGTACTTTGGCTTATTGTAATGGTAATGATCTCTATTTTTTGTCTATCGTCAATAGAACTTAGCGAGCGTTTGGTACGCGTCGCACGTCGTGTCAATTAGAGTTTGGATCCGGTTTTATTGCTAATATCTAAACCCGTTTTTATAATAAGAAAAGTTAAACCGGATCCAAACTCTAATGTCAATTGAATTCAAAATAATCATCCTTTTCCATCCCACCATTAAAATTAGCACAAGCCAATCCACTACACGCCGAAGAAACAGTATCATTCGCTGGAAGGAAAGGCACCGAATCTGAACGCACCTTCATCATGGTGAAACCGGATGGGGTGACACGTGGACTAGTCGGCGAAATTATTTCACGATTCGAGAAACGCGGATATAAGCTGGTGGCGATAAAGTCTTTAGTGCCGAGTCGACAGCTTGCTGAGCAACATTATGGTGATTTGAGAACCAGACCGTTTTTCAAGGGGTTAGTGAACTATATCACGAGTGGAAAGGCACCAGTTGTGGCTATGGTATTTGTTTTATTTGTCTCGCAGATTTTGGGATCTTCTCTAATAGTAGGTATATTAATTCTTGGTTTTGATTTCGATTTTTTAGGTTTGGGAAGGAAGGGACGTAATTCGTCAAAGTCGTGCTATGATTGGTGCTACTAATCCTTTAGAAGCAGTTCCAGGAACTATCCGTCATGCTTTTTCTATTAGGTAGGAAGTGGTATTAAGAGTATCAATAAACAAATAAATGGATTGTTTGACTAACTGAAATATTTATATATATATATATATATATATATATATATATATATATATTGGTTTGTTAATTATAATATAGTATCGGTCGTAACGTGATTCATGGTTCAGATTCTTTTGACTCGGCCGAAAAAGAAATTGGACTGTGGTTCGGGAAACCAGGTGACTTGGTTTCTTGGGAACCAGTGAATTGGAATTGGATCATGGCTGAGAATTAATTAAAACTTGAAATTGAGAAATGAATATTACTTTATATATACACATAATTTTTGTACCAAAGGAGAAAATAAATAAATAATACGTATACTAGTAGATAATGTCTATGATTATTACTAAATAGTTTGAGAATCCTTGATTCTTATCAAATCAATTGTTCGTTCTCATTTATTTTCTTTTGAGATTATTACTATTTATGGTGTCGTGACATTTTGCCGTTCTTGTAACGCTGTCGCAATCACATCAGTCACATCTCTTAATTCATTATTGAGATCTAACAAGATACCTATAAGAAAACCGGAGATTAAAGAATCGAAATTTTCATCGAACGTTCTAACGAGAAAAATAGATGTAATATATTTACCTGTATTCGCATCGACATCCGCAACCAGTGTTGTAACAAAAGGCGCATGATTAAATTGCACCACCTGATGACTTCCAAACACGCTCACTATCGATTTGTTCTTCTTGAGTCCGAGTTTGGACGCTTGCTCACTTACTACCGCAAAAGTTGTCGATAGTAGTGCCGGTTGTGTTTCGAAACCTGTTCCCAGTGATCCTCCTTCCGGTGTGGCTTTTCAATTATAAATTTGATAATTATTGATTTGGCACTTTCTTTCGATTGGAGTTGTTTCAAATACCTGTTAGTAATGTGACGCCTTCTCGGTCTGTTATTGTGATGGTTTTTAGGCCATCTATTCTATTTAATTCATTTTTTTTCGAATTTTTAGTTCCGGGCCAATTTCTTATTAATTATTATTAATCATGTTCAAAATACCTTGTTAACAGTTTATCAAGATATGTTTGTAATTCCTATATAAACGCACGAATATATTTAGGAAACAATTTATACATTTTAAAGATTTAAAAATCAATCACATAACTAACTAACTAACTAACTTACTTTGCTCATGCCGTCTTTTTATGTATTTCTACGTATGATCTTTAACTCGAAAAGCGAATAAATAATCGTAATGAATCTGTGCCACTTATCGTTATATACACCATAACGATAAGTGATCGATCAAGTGAGACTTGTAGATCTCCTGTTGACCAATGGAATTTGAGCATAATGGTATTCCATAATTTGGGCCAAACGATATCAATATGGGCTAATTTTATATAGGTATTGAATGAGACATGCAAACTTTAAGAAACCTTGTTTTTTTCCTACGATATTTTTTTTTATTACCAAATTTATAATTGATAAACCCTATTCAAGATTTTTCTGATTACAAAAATAAAAACGATATAATTTTTCACTATATTTATCAAGTTTATCGAATTCCTTACACTCTATCACTTCTCATAATCACCATCATCCTTTTCTTCCATTTCTTATTTGGAATTTCACGATAAAAATTAAAATTAATGCATAATGACAAACAGTAAGAGACAAGTAAAGAAAACAAGAAAGGAATCGTTGAGTTTCGACAAATGGCTGGATGATTGATACCTATGTGATCTCCTAATCGGATGTTTATCCCCTTATTACAGAGATCTTTTGATTGTACCTGATTCTGCTTGAAATTTGACGATGAGTAACTACACACTTACGCTTAGATAATTATAATAAATTATACTTTTCTAAGGATATCGATACGAATTTTCAAAAATTATCATTCGTTATCTTTCATTTGTGAAACATTTGGAACGACGATCAACACCGAGTATAAGAACCTTTATCCACTTTAATTGGTTCATGGATTAGGTGTTCTACATCTATGCTTTGTCCAACAGTACGTAATCGCGGATATAGAACGAACTTTTGATTTTTTTGAGCTCGCTGTATAAAATTTGGCAAATTAGATATGCTGTATACGTATAGCGAACGTTTTATTAATAGAACCGTCCGTCTGTGCTTCGATTACAAATAAAACTAACCTTGTTTGACTTTATATACTTCATGAAAAAAACTTTTCCCGATTAACCGTTACATTGTATGTGAGACTATTGTATACAAAGTGTAATTTTTATTCCCTGATATACAAATTTTCCCTGATATTAATTTGTCGAATTAATGCTGACTAAACATCCGAACTCGCGCACAAACTGTATTTCATGTATCGCATATATGTATCGAATTTTACGTTATCCTGTATATATTTACTCGTTTTCGCAATGATTTTTATTGTGTGAAGAATTTATTCAAGAAATCATTACTTATTTGCTTCTTTTTTATGGAATTTCTCAAAAAATTGTTTTTTTTCGACATGTCGTATTCAAAAGACGATCAAACATACACACCCTTACCATCAATTCAACGAGTATTTCTTCAGTCAATGGCAGCTGAAGACCCAGATGGACGTTTCATAATCGTCGACAACATACAGGTCTATTACAAGGTAGCATTACCACCAGAAGACCCAATGGAACTCGTAGACCCGCTTAATCCATACCCGTCAAACATACAAAAAAAGCCAGTGATTGTTTTATTGCATCATTTCATGGGAAATTTATATACATGGCGAAATCATATGCAGCCACTTGCTGATGCTACCGGTCTGCCGGTTGTCGCATATGATCGTCCCGCATTCGGGTTCACGGAACGATTAGCCACGTGGGAAGAAAATAAGAATCCGTATACACAAGAAGCATGCCCAGATTTGTTGGTTGAGCTGTTGCGAGGTATTGGTTATGGAGATCGAAGGGTTGTGATTATTGGTGTTTCGGGCGGTGGTGCAGTTGCTGCTGCTCTTGCGATTAAACGTCCGGGATATGTGCAGGCTATAGTGATGTTAGCTCCTGCTATAAAACCACAAGATCAAGGTTTCTATCAATTCTTTAATTAATCAATTAAGCATTTAATGTAATCGTTGAACTAATCCATAATATAAATAAATAGGTCCACCACCAATAGCTCGTCATATTCTAGCTTCATTACCAGGACGTCTATTTATAAAAGTAGCATTATCCCAATACATTCCCTTCACATCATTCTACCATAACGTTGAATCAATTCCAGAGTGGGAAACAGTAGTACGACCATGTTACCGTGTCCCACTAACACTCCCAAATTTCTACGAATCACTCGGTCACGTTATGCGATACTTTCGCCCATTAGAAATCATGGAACATTTACACATTATACACAGGCACACCCCGGTTCTCTATATCGCTGGGGATACCGATAGGTATATGCCCGGCAATCAGCATCCTCAAGCCTTTCTAGATATGACGCGTAATATGCCGGAAGGAACAATGTTTGAGTGGCATCTGTTGTCAGAATGTGGGCATTTACCGCAAGATGAGAAGCCTAGAGAAGTGTTAGAGTTGACATTGGATTTTTTGAAGCGGGCGGGTGTTTATCAGCCAAGATGTAGTGAATGATTGTTGGATGATGTGTAGGATCAATTGAGTAAAGAAAACAACGAAAAGAATCGCGAGGAGCATGTAAATTTCAAGGCATTTTTTACGTTTATAAACATGTATGCTAGATATTGATATTAAGTGACACATCCAAGATTATCTTTGAACAACTTATAGTTATATCATGCGCGCTGCCCTTCCTTTAATAGTTGCTTTTATGTACATTTGTTTCCATTTCGTCAGGTTGGTTTCTTTATCTGAGAATCTTTATCTTATTTTCTTTCCTATGTACTACCAATATAAAGTAACACTTTCTTTCCTTTGTACTTCTTTTCTATGTACTACATAAATAAAGCAACTTTCTTCCTATATCGATATATATACTGTTCATGTGAAGTAACACTTTCCTTCCTATACTGCCCATATAAAGTAATTCTTTCTTATGTACTGCCCATGTAAAGCAACTCTTCCTTCCTATATACTACCTACACACCCCTACAATGTATTACCGGAAATTCCAAAAATGAATTTGTCACTTTGGATCCCGATATCTCGACATCTAGTGATCCCATTCGAACAAAAATATCACCATTGGATTCGTCTCGACTATACGAATATAATGGTGATATCTTTGTTCGAATGGAATCACTAGATGTCGAGATATCGGGATCCAAAGTGAATTTCCGGTAATATATTGTATGTAATTTTCCTTGTTAATTGATCACGTGCTTTAGCCTAAATTATGACTCGATGAATTAATGCTGGCTAAAATCCAAATCATCCATATTTACCAGGGTCAAAAATCAAGGACGATTCTCTAAACTAAAATTGTAATTATCGTTATGATGGTTTTGGGTTTCGCCGGGTTACGGTGATTTCGAAAGTTTGGGCAAGTTTCGCCAGGTTACGGCAATTCGGAAGTTACGAATTTGGAATCGAAACCCTAAAAGGGCGTCATAAACAGTTCGCCTGCAAAGTCTGAAAATCGAATTTCGAATCAACATAGCCCGGACTAAATTACATGTGTAAGCAACACATCCCCGACTAATTACATGTATAGCATAATGATGAGCGAGATTAATAATAACGAGAATAATTTGCTCAATTCGAAACTTGAATGCATCAGTAATAATAGTAACAATAATAATAATAATAATGATGATAAAGTAGAAAAAAAAAATTTATTATTTAATTCTCCCTCTTCGTCGTCTTCAGCAACAACGGTACCGCCTCCCAAAGAAACTACTAATCCTATTACTATTTCTACTAATACTACTGCTCCTACTCAAACAACAGAAGTAAAAGCCAACAAGACAGAAGAAAACGTGAGTTTCGATAACAAATATGGCGAAAAAACTTCGTTCTGCGCGACAAGGCTTCTACTCCCTACCGAGTTTTCGAGTATTGAACGTGTTTGTTTGACTACTAACGGTAACTTGCAGCGTATTTTAAGGTAGGAAAATCTTTTGGGTTTTTGAGCCACGTGAAATTTGTTTTTTATCTTGCTTTCGGAATTTTTAGCGCTTGGTTCAACGATAACATATCGATAAATATAATAAGAAACAAGAACGTTACCGTTTCTAATAGCAATACTGACGACAAAGACGAAGATGATACCGACGACAAAATACGCAAAAATGGCATTCTTCCAAAAGAATCGACAACAAGAAAGAAAATAAAAATTAACGACGGGAATAGTGTAAACATTTATCATTCTTCTCCGAAAGATAGTTCTAGTTCTGATTCCAGTTTTAGTTCTGGTACTAGTCGGCAGCGACAACCAAAACGACCATTATTACGACGCGTGGATCGCGAAGTAAATTTGTGTTGTAAGGGTAAAGTGCTATGTAATGCTGTAAGCAGGTTGTTTGTATATGACGAGAAAATCCTCGATATTATTAATGAACAAGACATTGGAATTGCACAGATATTCAGGTAATAGATGTGTTACTAGCATATATCTTGAAATTTACCTGTCAATAAATGTCATTAATATACACGATGTCGACAATTAATAAAAGATGTTTTGAGAAACTCCCCGACTTCCAATTACTTCTAATCGGCCGAACAGACACCACCTGGTGGCGCGAGTACTCGTTATGCATTGATGGTATGGAATGCTACATCAAGGAAATCTTCCCTAAGAATTTGTTTAAAAATGAATGGATTGATCAAGTTGACAATAATCCTGATGATTTCTTTGATAAGGAGTGCACTAGAAATGCTGTTTCGTGGGATTACTATTCTTTGACGTTTAAGTCGGAGAAATAATTTTTGCTACCTTCGTTCAATTTGATTGTTTGTTATTTATTTATATTAGCGTTAGATGTTAGATGTAAGATGTAATATAAGTGTAATAATAACTATTAACTGAATTAAATTAGACTATGGTGCGAGCAGTCTAAAGACATCAAATGCTTTGAACTGTAAAGGAATTTTATTTTAAATATATAATCATTAAAATAAATACATTATTAAATGTATTTTTTATTATAAAAATCATAATAATAGCACCTAAAATATCACGTGCATTATCTTTGATTGACTGTATTTCATCATGCAAAATTACATGATCATTTTTATGTAAAATTTTAATTAGCATTACATGTAATAACTTATTTTGAAACGATAATCCTTCAAAAAATTCAACAGTGCGCAGCATTTGATGTCTAAGCTGCCTGCACCATACTTTTTCAATAATCTCATTCGAATTACGCATATCATAGTTGAATCGAGTTCAAGGCAAAATTAAAAAGAGAATGCTCTCGGTCGGGGAATTGAACCCCGGTCTCCCGCGTGACAGGCGGGGATACTAACCACTATACTAACCGAGACTTGATTGTTATATAATATAAATAATTAATTTACTTATTTATAAAATAAAAAACAGATGAGTTTCACGTGAGACGACACCAAGCATAAAAATTCAAAACCAATACTTTCTTCTAAAGCCTTTTCACAATACATGCGGTGACATTTTACTCATAAAAAGTGGCAATGGTAAATAAACAGCAATTATAATAACACTAGTAGTAAATCAGATCGACGCAACCCCGTTGCTCGAGAATCCACCACAAGAACGCTGGTTACGTTAGTTCTGCTGAGCCGATCTTAAAAAACATCCGGAAATGGACTGTTGAATAAGTTTAAGATTTAATTTCAAGTATGGTCGAAGATATGAGAGTTTATGTGCTATTCTGGCAAATGAATCGAAGGTAGATTATGTTGCAAGATTCGTCACGTCATAGAAAGGCGAGACTTTCGTTCTCTGTTTCACTCCGAATAGATATCATAATTGAAAGATCTTTCAAAGTAGTGTGAATGCGATGAAATTGTGTGGACAAAGTCAGATGACGACTGGAAATAATTGATCGCAAATTTTCTTTATCTTGTAGGAAGATATGATGCTAATTGGGAGAAAATATGGAGGGCTGTCAGTAAAAACCAAGCAAGTTACTCTAATAAATTTGCTTGGTTTTTACTGACGGCCTTCCTCCAATATATAACTGAAAAGAAATCTGGAAAGAAATTCCACAAAGAAAACCATATGACATAAAAAGTTTTCTCCCGACGCCTTTTGATTTATATAGTATTTACAGCCAAAGAAGTCGACAATATGTTTGGAACGCTTTCAGTAAAAAATCAGAAACCAGCCTAGACTCGGACAGAATCCTTTCTTATTATTGAGATTAGTAGATAAAGATTAAATTGGAAATAATTTTACGTCAAGAGTTGTGAACCCAAAATTATGACAACGGCGACGCACTATTAAGAAATGGACACCGGACGAAAATGTATATTTTGAAATTGATCCGTTGTTATTATTGTCAAATATCATCTACCTTTGGTGCACATGAGCTCAGTGAAGTTCTTTGTAAATAAATAGATTTCAATCACGAATAAACAAATTTCAATTATGAATAAACAAATTCCAAAATTACTTGGAACTTTATATCCATTTGCTAGAAAATTTGCTATTTTTACCAAGTATGTTAAGACATTTCATTAAATCAGACCTGTTTGTGACCAGATGATAATCTATTAACTTCATTCTCTTCTATGCTGATAGCAATAACAATATAAAAATGCTAATAAAAACACCGCAGGGCATTCCCTACGATGAATTATTTGATACCTTATTAAGAAAGGCACTTCCTGCTAATTTCCACTTTAAACGATTTTCGAATACGAATCTGCGAGTATTGTCTTCAAACGAGGGAAAACATGTATTTTTTTTTGGCTTAGACTTGGGCTTGAATGCTTCGAGTGTAAAAACTCTCGTGCAAGACAAGTATCTTACGTGGTTATTGCTAAACGAAAAAGAAGAGACAAGAATTTATAGCATGCCCTTGAATATGAAGTTTTTCATCAGCTATGGGCGAGAGCTAATCGGTCACAGAAGAATGTTAACAAGGGATCTATATGACCATATTGAAAAAGAAAAAAAACTTGTTCTTAAGCCTGTTAATGGCATGGGAGGATTTAAAGTCTTTAAAGTTGAAAATAAAATGCAGATTGATCGTGCATTGAAAACCCTGGGACTTGAGACTGCATTTATCGCCACTAATTTTATAAACATCAAAGAGGAATATCGCATTTTTGCTTATCGTCCAGAAGATGAGCTAGAAGTGCTTTTTTGCATAAAAAAGACGCCCATGCGAATTAAAGGTGATGGTAAAAAAAAAATCAAAGAATTAATATTTTATAAATTCTCTCAGTCTCGCGAAGGAATAGACTACGAAGGGACCTGGAAAGATGTGGAAGAAATATTGGCTGCCCGGAACTTTTGTCTTGACGACATTCTTCCTGAGGGAACGGAAATCAATGTCACCTGGAGGCTTAATCAAGTTCTGGGTTCAGAGACTACGGTAATTGAGAGAAATAATATTCCAGATAAGGTTCTCGATATTGCCAGAAATGTATTTCAAATATTGAATATGAATTTTGGTTGTGTCGATGTGGCTAAATGCGAAAAAATCGAAAGAGACGCGATAGATTATGTGATTGTTGAAGCGAATACAGCGGTACTTAGCGATTTATTTGATTTCTATAGTCAAGAAGAGTTGATTCAAGTTTTAAAGAAATCCATAAATCATCTTCTCAAACGTCATGTTAATACGGAAACGATTTTGGATAATATTAAAAACACACAAAAAGAGGATAAAAAGGAAACGAAACAAATAGTCACGACTTATGAAGAAAAAGCAAGTTTAAAAAAACAATGTATCAACGAAGCATGCAAATCTATGCAGGTTTCCGCGAAATTTTATAGTCACGATTATTTGTCCGTTATCGACGATAAAATCTTTATGATAGCCTTTGATCTAGGAATCGAAAATACAACGGCCGTCAGCATTTGTCAGAATAAAGACGTCACCTCGCAAGTCTTGAAATATGCAAATGTTCCATCTGTAGAACACAAACTATTTAAAATGCCGGAAGACCAAAATGCCAATGAAGGTAATTATGGTCTTCTGGACGAAATCTTCCAACAAGCTAAAGAATGGAATATGAATGTAATCGTTAAAAAAAGAGTAGGCAGTGGTGGCATGGGAGTATTTCGTATACAAGATGAAATCGAATTAGAAAAACTATCATTAATAGAAATGGAGAGAGGGATTGTGATGTCCCCTTATCTGGATATTAAAAACGAATATCGCATACTGACATTAAATGGAGAACCATTGTGTATCTACAAGAAAAATAAACTTAACCTAGTAGGCGATGGAAAATCCTCGTTCTTGGAATTAATAATCATGAACATCAAAGACAAAGGATTGCGTAACAGAGTTCTGTCGGACTTTTTAGATAAACAAAAGGAAAGTCTTGATTATGTGCTAAAGAAAGGCGAGAAATACTCGGTTACCTGGAAACATAACCTCGACCAGGGATCAATTCCTGAGATTTCCGAAGACGCGGAAATCAACACACAATTGTTAGATTTAGCATTGAGAAGCACCAGAGCCATTGGGATGACTTATGCTGCTGTTGATATAATTGAAACAGGTGACGATGGCAAATTATATGTTTTGGAAGTTAACAGCACGCCAACATATTATCATTTCATCGGTTTTTACGGAAAAGAAAAGTTTTCGAATATTTTACAAAAATTGATTAAGGTACAATTGCAAAGATTGCAAGTGAAAAACCATAAAATTTTATAGCAAAGAATGCTCAAATTCTTAATTTTGGAACATTATCGACAATTCAAATTGGACATTTGCACCAACACAAAAAATTATCACAATCGGCTTCAATTGATGTAAAGAATTGCACTTCGTAATTACGTGTAGCAATTATATTAAAGAAAACTCGTGTAATCTTATGCAAAATTGTCAAAAAAAAAATAAAGTAACATCACTCAGAAACTGAAAAAGTACTGTTTATCCGTTTATTTGTCTTTTACGAAATTAGAAACAATTGTTAAGAACGCTTGAGGTTTCTCTGCGTGAACTATTTATATTAAAATGATGATATCAAAATCGCGTTATTTTTATAATTTAACAAACGACAATCTTACAATCAACCAACCAACCAACCAATCGACTAACCACTCACCCACCGAATACTCACCCCAATGACCGGCCTCGATATCTACGATAACTGCTTCAGGAAATAAAGTTCGAATGGTTGGATGAACCTGAAACATTATTAAGAATATTAATTTATTTACACGTGATGATATGGATTGAACACGTATCTCAAAAACAAACCTTCGGCTTCACATAATTTGATTTAGTCCCAGCAACAAACAAAGTAGGCTTATGAAAAGTATGATGCGCCGAATCGAACGGAAACCCGCCTAATTCTTCTAAACTGTCATCTAATAGATCGAGCGGAATACGAAATTTGTATATGCCAGTGTCGGGGTTCCTTTTCAGATTAGTGAGGAGAAATTGACGAATTGCAATATCCTTATACAAGAAAAAAAAATTAATCTTCAAAATTAATCACTCAGACCAGTCAATATCAAAAAATATATAATATACCGGCTCAACCTCCCGCAAAATCTCGTCAGCAAGACTCTGCTTTGAGACTACAACCGTCTCAATTTTCTTCATTGCCGCGATATACGTCGCGAAGTCTAGCGACAGTCGGTACTTTGTTGGAGCACAGTCCACAACCACTAGTTTCTCTATGTGGGGTACTTGAAGGAGTGCCATTGTCATTGCAACCTTACCACCCCTATTATTATTGAAGAAATAAATAAATTACTGATACATTACTAACCGTTATTGAAATAATAGATTTTTATTCAATCCATGTAATTAATACATTGAATGACCAATTATGACAGTCTTACGAAGTTTATGCTCGTGAAGGAATTCTGTTACATCTTTGGACATTGCTTCGTACGTGTGAACCGGTGAATGAGGACTTTCGCCATGATTTCTTAAATCCTATTATATTCCAACAAGAGAGGTTCATTACAATACTTTTACCATTGTCAATTATTTAATTCATTACTATTACCAGTGTAAAAACCCTAGTATTCAGCCGTTGCGCAAACGCTTTTGCAAGAGATTTCCAATTCTGTTTTGAACCAAACAAGCCATGCAAAATGACTAGCGGAAGGCTCTCATGCGGTGCATGAAGCCTTGGTGGCTCGTACTCGAGAAATGCTAATTTAACTGTGTCCTCCTCTCCTTTTGTTTCTGTGGTTTGGTTGTGGTGGTTCGCGTGTTCTGAGTATGTTCTCTGAAAAGAAATTAAGTTTCGAGAGTAACGCGGTTTTAGTATGCGTGATAGTTGCGTAAGGTAACGTTTTTGGGGGGTGCATGTTTCAAGAAAAGTGGCAAGACACTTTTTATTCATCAAGAGACAAAAATTTAGTTATATTATAAATGGTCGCCAATCAGGCCAAAAATCTAAATTTCATCTTAAAGACAACAGATAAATAGGGATCACTAAACAATTAATGTAAGCCTTCTAATGCGTCCAAAAGAATCTGGAAATCATTCTTTATATTCTGCGCGTACCGAATAATCTTTTCCTGTTTTATACATATTGATTAATAAAAATATAGAGAAAAACCCAAACAAAATAGACGAGTTAATTAATCGTTAACTAACCTTATCATCCAACACTTCAACAGTCTCCGTGTACGGATTATAGCGCACCGAGAATGATCGTGTCAGTGTCTTTGCATAGTCACGGATCTTTTGTTGCGCATCTTTAAATGAATCTGCTACAAAGTATAGCTATAATTTTCGTACCAAATGTAAAATTATTTAGTAAATAATTGATCGATTTAATGAGAAGAATTTCTATTGGATTTATACTTTTTGATACTCTGTCACTATGTATTTCTGGACAGCAGTTTTGCTTGGTTCGAAAGGCTTTTTTTCGGGCTTATCCGTAAGCGCATACTATACGTTTAACATAATAGCAGATTAGATTATATTCGACATGACATGAAAATCCTTGCGGCCAACCTACTCCGCCCGAAAATATAATAAATTACCTCTAATTCACCGAAAGAGGACAACAGTCCTGCACCATATGCACGTATTTCACCGTCTTGTCGACATAACCCAAATTCAACAGTGAACCAATATATCTTGTCATAAGAAATTAAGATGATAATGAGATTAATATTTTATCAATCAAGATATTTAATACAAATCCCCAGAATGGTGAATGAAAAATCCTTACTGTCGCTAATTTTTCAATGTCGTTGTCACTAGCACCAAGCGATGCCAGACCTATTTCCTAGAGAACGAGAAAAATCAATATCAATGTATATACAGAATATGTATATATGATCAGATGTGTTGACGATATATACCTGTGAAAAGTCCGCAAAATCTGGATCACAAAATAATGGAACCTATATATATGTATATATATCAAAATTAATTTTAATTGATCGACGATAGTTAGGCAAGACAAAATACTTGCATGTCCAAGTAGCTCGTGACAGATATCTCTTTTGCATTGAGAAAAGGATGTGTGTATGATCAGTCATTAAATTGAGGTAAAATGAAGAATTACAACAATAATATGAAATCGGAATCATAATTACGGTTCTGGTGTGTATAAAGGTTTCGAGTGGTGACGAATGTACTGAGTGGAATGAAACACGCGAAACGCGAGACCATTAAGAAAATCACGTGATGTAAGAAGACCCATAACAGGGCGCAATGTGAATCCCGTACAATCTGAAAAATCCAACTTTTTTTTATAACCGTACACTTGATTCATACGCGAGGTAATGGGATATAAAACTAAAAAACTACCTTTCAAAAACCGCGAAATATCTTCCAATTGAGGAATATTGTCTTCTCGATACCTGCAATTCTCGACCAACAACGGAAACACATATTGATGTTCACGACACGCATGTGTGGGAAAAAGTTTCACGAGGTTACGGAACACGGTGGCCCATGTCTCAACCTCTTCTTTGGTATAGTCAATACGGGGAATTGGTTGTCCATGGCGATGGGTCTTTGCGATACGTGTTATTTCAGCGCGACGTGCTCGATATGCTGTGTCTTTGGCTCCCGGGTGATCAGAGGCTAGTTTGTGATTTTTATTTTAATGAATTAATTTGATATGTAAAGGAAGTAATGATAAGAAAATAGTAATAGAGCTTCTCACTGAGTTCTTCGCCCATTTCCAAAACTTTATCAGCAAATGTGTCCAAATCGGCTTTCTTACGAGGGAACCAAGGAACATGAACTAGATATTACAGTAATGAGTAATACACGGATATCCTTGATACGAATTTAGCGCTATAACAGATTCTATTTCTGACTCACGTTCAGCAGCCTCAGAAGTATCAGAACTAACAATCTGAACTTGTTTTGCGACTTTTTGCAATTCAGACACAACATTCTTCAATTGGTCTCGTGATTCTGCGTCAAAGTCGATGAAAAAGTCGTAGTCCCATCCTGGAGTCTTGCTAGGACGACTTCATTTTTTGTTGCGTAAATTAAAAACTAAATTTTCAGTGCAAATCAAATTTCAATCTATTTAAAAATGAAAATATTTTATACCTCTCAATTCTCTTCAATGAAATGTTCAAGATCTTAATAGCTGCCAAACACTCGTCCAAGACACCAACACGGTCGGTAATGCTGAACAAAAGTGTGGTCCGGAAGGGAGCAATAATGCTCGCTTCTGGTCCGCATTTGTGAAGTACTGGTGTGTTGCTTGCAGTTGACATTTTGAAATTCAGTAAAACTGCTATGGATATATAACGAGAAGTGATTGACCGGTTTCTAAATGATCGTGCGAAAGATGATAAAGTTTGTGCGTGGGAAACTTCGGAGCAACATGAAAATATTACGCAATCGATAATGTGATGTGTGGCCAGTAATTTTGTGCATCTTGAGAATATTTTAAAATCAAACATTTTTTCACTGCAAAATAACTTTTATTCTTTAAAGAGGAGTTATATTTTCAAATAATTTTAAGGAGTAGTTTGTTGATTATTCCTTGAATCCAAAACTTTAGTCACCTCAATCATCGAATTCACTTCACCCGAGGTAGCTTTCCCATGCGCCATCCACCGAATCAAACATCTCGCATCGACCAAAAAGATGTTTCCGCGAGCTGAATTCAGCTCCAGCAATTTCGTAATGTAGTAGACGTCTTTGAACACGAACACATGTGTTGGCTTTTTTATTACATTTTAAATTTTTGGGAAGTAAATGAATGAATAAGATCCAGATTAAGAAAAAGGAATTAATATATTGACATATAGTTCAATCATTCAGAAGAAAGTTAAGTTGCCAATAATCCATACATGACGAGATTTTTCGATCGAGCGTCTTATGGAGGGCATGAAGAGTCGTATGATGAGTGACTTTACAAAGTTCTTTTCTAAATTTATCTTTTCAAGAAAATGGAATAAAAAATGTTTACTACTACCAGTATGTATGGTGACATAAATTTTATGGCTTTTCGTACCGTTACTAACTGAATCGATGGATGTCCAGAAAAAGCGTCAAGAAATGGATCAGCAAAAGTTTTGACATGATCCTTTGTTATGATAGATAATGATAATGATTATTCTTATTAAAGAGAGGATTCTCGGAAATAGTAATCAGCAAAAAAGACAAACCTCTCCGTATCTATTAAAACAAAAAGTCACCAATGAAGTTTTCCCTAATAAAAGTTCGGTCGTATCAGTATTATTTTTTGCTAAAGACCGACCTTTCATGTTTGGCATGTATTTGGCTTTCTTTCGAATAGATAACAAGCAGTTAAGTCGACGTCCAAACACCGAAAAGACTAATTAATGTCAACTATATACATTTTCTCTTATCAAAACGGAATTGGCCTCCCATAACTTGTCTCCTTCTCGTTTAATCTCGGCCAAATCTTTGAAATATGGTGTTTTAAATTCCTCATATCTTCGAGGAGTTAAACACGTTACTAAATATATAGATAAACCACCGTAAAAAGAGTAAAACACTATAACTTACAATTTTTGACGTTGCTCTAAATTCCGCTGCACCATTTCTTCCCTGTTTGCAAGCCATCCCGACGCTCTGTCAGAACTCGGTGTTGCAGAATCCCAAAGTTTGGAAACTCCAATTACACGGTTTGGTGGTTTTGGCAACGGTTTTTTAGTCGTCTGGTTGGATGTTGCTGTTGGTGAACTACTATCACTATTTTTAATGGTGCTTGAATTAATACTGGGACTAATATTTGTTGTTGGTTCTTCTGCACTTGTAGACAGCAAGCGTTTTGAAAAAGAGAGGCAAGCATTTGGTCGTGATAGTGATAGAACTATCTTTCTTTTCGAGTTGGCAATAAACACATTATTAGGAAGAAATACGCGCAACATTTTTTTGACAAGTCAGATATCCAGTCGAAGCCTGGGTGCTGGTCAGAAATCACGTGAAAGACACTTTTTTGACTAGAATACTATGTGAAAAGAATTAGAATCTGAATCAAGGTTATTTGACAAACAAAAAATAATATCTTTTTTCTCAATTTCAAATATGAGTAGAAAAAAAGATAATAATTTTGTATAGATCATTTTATATTATTTATTTATATACTGTCACCGATTCAATATCGTCAGTTATTCCATATGAAAACACGTGAATATAAGACGCAGTAACGATAAAATATTGGTCATAATAATATTTGGATTACGTGTCTAGTTCGATAACATTCTACTTCTTTCTTTTTCTTTCTATTTTATTC